TAAAAGCTCCAGAGAAAAGAAGCTCTAAACATTAAAACTGCTAATGAAAATGTCCTAAACCAAGCAGATAACATGTGTTGGTATGCAAGTGCACGGCTATGCCGATGAGAATCCAGTCTGTGTCCTGTCTGCATTTCAGCACGGTCACCATGGAAATGGGAACCAGCCTGCACAGAGCCTAACAAAGGAAACCTTTAAATGAAAATAACAACACTGGATAGAGGCTGCACAAGATTTCTGCTGGGGAAAATGACTTGTTTTACTCATCTGGAGATGCAGAAACCCCCTTTTACCTGCATTAATCTTAAAGGAAAGTACTTTATTCACATTTAGTTGTTTTGACATTAAGCCATTACACTGGTAGTTGCAGTTATTAGCCCTCATGAAAATACATCACATGAAGTACATACAAACCCCACTTTCATTCATTCATTCAAAATTACAATAGTGAAGAAAGACCACAATGAATAATATTTACACAGTGGCTAGGAAGCACAATGAAAAAAAGGAGTAGCTGTACTTTTACTTCTTTAACTTCTTAAATTAAAGTTCTGTGATACTGAATCAAAAAAGCAAAGAACAATTCACATGTTGTTCCAGAGAGAGGCAGCACACAGTTAAAACTTGTTGGTAGGATCTCATGTTGACTTTGACCAAATTATGTACAAATAAATATTAACTGTTAATGTGTTTAGGTGTCTGATGGTAATAGCCAGTATGCTTTCTAAAATAAACACCATACAAAATACAAGTCCTGTAATGCAGTATGAATGAAGCCTTACTTCAATCTGCAATGCTGTGAGAGGCAAAACTCCAAAAATAATACATAGTGGTGCTGCTACTTCTTGCTACCTCAGAAAGAAGGAAAAACTAGAGACAGGTTTACTTTAAGATGAGTTCATGTTTAGATCCTCCTTTCAAGCCATCTCCAGATTATAGAATAATTTTTAACATTAACATTACTCACAAATATGATAATAAAACATCAAGGTATCAAAAGATGATCACAAAGAGGGAGAAAGGCAGAAAATAGGCTATGTTGGTGTGCATGATTGTACATTAAAAACATTTTCACCCCAACTTTTAGCTTCATTTATTACACCAAATATTCCATTTCCATTTACTATTCAGTTATCAGTTTAGTCCATTCTGCTTTGTACACTGCCATGTTCTTTTACGTATATGATTTTAATCTTAGCAGCTTCCTTGTTATTGCTTACATATCTTGAAAATAAACAAGTATTTGCGTGTGACAGAGGATTTATTTTTCAACACTCAAGTGAAATGAGAGACCATCCTTACCTTCGTTAAAAAAAAAAAAAAGTACTTACCACTTTTGGATATCTAGAGATACAGCTAAACTCTTTTTTGCTCACATTTAAAATACAATTTCCATTTACTTCAGTCACAGCTGTGAATACAGAGCAGTTTTGCACATCAAGATGCACTTGCACAACCAGCTCAAGCCAGTGGAAGTAACAGCTATCAGTGACAGAGACTTTTCCAGCTTTCCTCCCTCCTCTGGCCACGAGTTCTGAATGTACCCTATGCCAGCACTAACAAATAAATTGCTCAAGTGAGCAAGATCAGTTTATCTCATCTCCAAAACTAACCTGGCTCAAAAGGAGGAAAAAGTTATTCAAGCAAATGGGTCCCTGACCTGTTCCCAAGACTAAGCCATAGAGATAGCACAGAGGAACTGGTGGAAACATGCAAACAGGAGTGGATGAAATGTCCTTGCAGCGTCAGCTCCACATTCAGGTCAGCTTAACCAGATCGTGAAAACGCAGCTTCAGTTTTGAGAACCCCTGGCTGAGCAAAGAGAAAGAGAAGAACACAAAAGCTCCAACCACATGTCAAAGATTTGATTTAAATGACTCGTCTGAAATTGTACTCAGCTTTTGCAGGGAAAAAAACAAAAAAAAAAAAAAAAGAGAGAGAGAGAGAGTGAGAAAGAATCCACTTTTGTAAGGAAAAAAGAGAAATTTATTTATCTTAATCCTGTATTTCATTCTCATTCATTAGACCACTTTCTAATTTTAAAACTAAGCAAGGCAGGAGTTCCAGTTCCAGTTCCAGCTCATTATCTGATCACACCATCTTTGTTCATAGGCAGTGACAGCATGATGTACTGATGTGCAAAAGAGACAAATCCAGGTGGCTAACTTACTCTGGGCACTTTCCACCTTTTGCATGTTAAATGCCATTATCACAGCTTCCATCCCAGTTTAAACAAAAGCATACTGAAGAAAAAGAATCTGTAGGTTGGGTCTCCTGTTCCTCTATGGGGCCTTGCAGCCTATTACTTACCAGAATTTCCATCCTTGGAAACTCTCTATTCTACACAGACACCCCAATTTCAGGTAGACCTGTTTTCTCTTTCCGTCTGCCTGCGTCCCACAGAGAGACTTGAGAATCCATGGCACTCATGTGGTAAACCTGTAGCCCAAAAGGCATATCCCTCATGTCACTGCAAGTTTTCATTTCAGAATTAAAGAGTTCAAGGGATGTGTACTTCACAGAATGGAGATTTTATGAATGTGCTAAGAGTTGTATCATTCACATCCTGGATTGCTGGAGGAAGGTGCATGTTAGGCTTCAATATGAAGGCTTGCTGAGATAGTATAGGCGAGGTCACCCCAAATTTTACTTCCTCCCCTATGTATGGTCCTCCAACACTATCACTTGGTATTTCACTCTGAAGTTAATTATTGTTATAAAAAGGAGAACAAGCTGGTTCATCTGAAGCCCAGGAAGCAGTTAAGAGCATGCAGTACAGGCAGTCAGGAGACCACCATCCAGAAGCAAACTGGAAAGCAGAGTGACTTAAAAAACTATGGATAGTGCTTTAAACATAACAAATAAGATGAGAAGTCAAGAGAGAAATTTTTTGCATTTGCAGGTGTAGATCTAAGACCTCACGCAGAAACATCTTACTAAGGTGCACAACAAGGTGGACATAAATTAACTTAGAAACTAGCTGATGAAAATGCATTTCTTTCCAGAGGAATACAGTTTTGCACAGACTTGTTACCTGGCCAAATTTAGGTAGACAATGCAAATAGTGCCTTCCTGCCAAATTTCAAATATCTCCTCTGAAGCATGACACTAGAGCTTTCCAAAGAAAATGTTACCAGAATTGAGCCCAGGAAAGCTACTGTATTTTCCACTGGCTTCATTCTCATAGAGAGTGGGGCTGTTTTGGCTCTTTTAAGAACAGAATAAGGAAAAAAATGCACTTAAATGTAAATTTAAAGAACTTGACGTGGCAAAACTATCAGCAGCATGCAGCAACAGAAAAGCTTCCGGCTTTGTTGCATAGGTTGCCCTGTAATGCATCATTTATTCCTCTTGACATAATCTACTTCTCTATGCTATACACTTTTTGGTCAACAATTTAGCAGGTTGGTAACAAAGTCATGCTATCAAAATTATAGTTCTGTTTCAGATCTCTTCTTGTAGCATCTACGAAGTCTTAATGACATCCCAGACACAAAAGTACACATCAGCAAGAGTAACCCACTACTTCACTGTTGCACTATTTTTAGTTGCATTTAGAGACACAGCAAAGCACCCCATGTGACCTATTTAATACAGCTGATAATTCAGAATATACTGACATAAAATCAAGTCTGGAATAACTTGGAATATTTTCTAGAAGTGAAGAGTAATTCAGCCAAGCTCTCCCAATTAAATTTAAGAGTATCACCTTTGAAAGTAAACCAGTTCACTAGAATTCAAGCAACCTGAAAATTATCGTGGGAGAGCTACAAGAGTACCACCATAGCAGAGCTCTAAAAACACTTAAGGAAAACTCTCCTGTCCTGAAACTTTTTGGTGCTACTGCAAGAAGATCAAAAAGGCCTTAGCAAGTGTTAACCCAGTAACTGCATCCACTGACATCAAATGTCATGACACATCTGAAATCAAAATTATGACAGCTTTCAGATGTATAAATTGAGATAAATCATGGGTAGTGCCTGAACAAAGTAGACCTATCTCACTTCTGTCATTCAAAATGCCAGAGGAACTCGCCTCTCACAATCAGCCCTTATCTTCTGCTTTCAGCACTGCTCTACAAACTTTGCAAGTCTTAAGACCCCATGAATTACAGTGAATGCTAATGATCCTGGGTTTTAGTAGCTGTAACCAGGAGAATAAAGGATAGATTAAGCAGAAGTACAGGGTGGAATGTTTTGCCCACTGGTACTTCTCAGAATTTTTGTTTTTTTTTTTTTTAAAAATGCCAGGTTGTTTTTGTTCTATATATCACATCACAGGTTAATATTTTTGTATTTTATTTCATACCCTGCAGCCACACATTCCACTGCAGTGTTCGCTATAGTTACTGAAAGAACAAGTTAGAACAGCTCATCAGTGAAAACTCATTTTCATGCTGCCTTTTCGGTGACTTGCTAATTAAGGGTTTTTGAGAGTATACAGCAATATTAAAACTCTGAAACTGCCTGGGAATTTGCTCATGGCAAGTGAATATGATTGCTTATAGTTCCCAGGAAAATAGATGTAATGGTAATTAAGTTAGCCAAAAGAAGGAGGAGATGGTTCAAGTTTCCCTATCCTTGTCCAAGGAGCGACATCTGCCCAACAGTGCAGCAACAGACCTAGAGGACTCTTGCAAATAGGAGCAGCATTCACAAAGAGAACATCATCTTTGCGCCTATAAAGGTATAACCATCATATAATCCTAAATCCACACATCGGGCTGTCCCCGCTCCCTCCGCTCCAGCGCGCACACACAGTGAACGGGAAATGGGAAAGTGAAATCTACGCCACTCCAGGAGTTTAACCTGCTTTAAAATCGCCGCCGATGCATGGCGCTCCCCCGCAGCCCCATCCCACCAGCCCGCAGCCGCGCACCCTCCGCGCGTCTCCGCCCGGCCGGCGGCGCGGGAGGGGCCGCTCCCGCCCCGCGCCCCGCGCCCGCCGGCGGACCTTCCCTCCCTCCTTCCCTCCCGGAGCGGCGGGACGGACAGACGTACCCAGCGCGAGGAGCAGAGGCGCCGTGCCCGCGGAGCCCATGGCCGGCGCGGGGCGAGGTCGGGCCGGGACCGCTCCGAACTGGCCGCTTCCCAGGGCGACACTGAGCACCACCTGCTCCGAGCCGCCCCCAAATACTCTTCCTCCTCCTCCTTCTTTTCCTCCTCCTCCTCCTCCTCCTCCTCCTCCACGCCCCCTGCGGTCCGCGGCCGTGGAGGGGCCGGAGGCAGCTCCTCCCGTCTTCCGCCCCTCGCTCCGCGCCCGCGGCGCAGCCGGCGGTGCTGTCCCCTGAAGGCTCTGCCGTCGGGTTGTCCCACTCTGTTCCCTCCTGGCTTTACTCCCTAGAGGAGCCACCCTCGCGCTCGGCCCGCCTGGCGCTGCCCAAAGCTGCGTGCCCTTGCCTCATGGCTGCGCTGGAAGGGGGCTCCGGGATCGGGACACCCACCACCCCCGCCCTGGGAACCCTGGGCGACAGCGGTTTGGAGGGCCTCTTTTTCTTATTAAATTGTGCATTTGATGTCGCTGAGTCTATATCTTCTTCTTTAAATGAAATTTTTGCAGACTATGCCCCCCAGCCTGCAGCAGTGAAACAGGATCCAGAAGCCTTGCCACGCAACTGTCTCGAACTTGGCAATTATAATGAGGATGTATTGCCTAGGCAAAATAGCTACCTGCGTTTCCTTAGGTGCCAGGCCAATGTCCAGGTAGACAAAGAGAATCAAAGCCAGTAAAAATAGGGAGGTGAGGATTTTGACTTCCTAAGAAATCAGAAAGGGGTCTGTGTAGCTTTCGGTCTACCTAGCCTTGTCAGCACTGTTTGAATAATGTATGTGCAGAGTATTTGAGAAACATGCATTTTCTCCATCCCACAGTTCCAGTAAATATCAAAATTTATGGACTACCTTTTCATATGGAATATATTTGTTTCATTTTGTACAATGAATTCTGCTGAATAATTTGAACTTCTTGGCATTAACGCTGTGTAATGAAAAAGACAGTTGGCCTGGAAAATTGAAATAAAAAAGCTTCCTTCCTTCACCCTCCTTGCCATTTAGGTCATCGCCGTTTAGGTGTGACACACTGTAGCTATTATTTAAGGAGCACATGTATTCTCTCAGCTTCTTATTTATTTTTAACCTTTGGAAACTGAGCTGTAAATTAAAATGAAGAAGTTTCTCAGCATTTGTCAGCAGGTGGTTTTCAACAGGATTTTTTGGACATGGGTTTTATATGGATATCATGCAGTTAAAGAAATCTCCACCAGCATGTTAAAATCCACTTGATGGAAGTGCAGCATGGACCTGTTTTTGTATAACTTACCTTGGATTCTTTCATCTGCTTGCTTTATAGGACACACAGGACTGTTACCCAACTTAATGAGAAAGCTTGCATGGACTCACTGTGAGCACTTCCCAAAACACTGTCACTGCTGGGCTCCAAAGCTCTTTCCAAGGCCCTTGGTCAGTCATCACCAGGGACAACTCACAAGTCTCTGGGAGCACTCTGTTTCCCTTGCGTGGTGTCACAGGAGACCTGCAGACACCTCAAGCAGTATTGAAGTGCAGATATTGAAGCAGTAACACCAACTTCAGCACCCAGACTGGTCCTGTGACCAGTGGGAAAGTTGCGATGGGAAGAGCAGCCATGGGAGATTTTCTTTCCATCTGCACTGAGTGTATACATGTATGTGCCACTCCGGGACAAGAAGGAAAACCTATACTTCTACAAGGAATAAGAAGAACATAATTAATAAGTACTAACGAAAAGACAATAAAAAACAGCAACCAAAAATCCACGTCACAGAGAAAAAATGGTTTCTTAATAATGGAATAAACCTAGAATTGCCCTCTGCCCCACCCTAAAATAACCTCAGCACACTAATGTCTGTTTCCTAAGGAACAATGTCTTTGATTCAGTTACATCATTCTAATTATAAATATATCCTTAGGATATGAAACTTTCTTTCTCATCTAGATACAGTGTTGAAGAATAATTTCTCACACACAAAGGCTGTCTCCCAGGGTGCTGCTTCTAAGACCAACATTCTTCAGTGTTGACAAAGAAAAGGCTGTAGGAGAATAAATTCTTGTATTCTTCAACAATACTCCCTTGGATTAATGCTTTTGTTTTAAATTATTTTAAGCCATTTGATAACAACCTTCTCATATAATCCTGAACTGTACTTTGCATATTATAGGAAACAAGAGGTTTTATATTGTGCAATATTTCACCTTTTTTGACTCACATCACAAATTTTATACATATATTGCACATATTCAGGTAAATTATTATTTACTATTGTTCACCTACACCGATAGAGAACAGTTTGGTTAGTGCTCCTTATCTCTGCACTATAAAATGGGGTCTGATACACACCCTTTGCTGTACACGTGTTTGTTGTTTAATGATGTTTTATAGCACCTTGTCATGTCTGCCAGTCATTGATCTCAGGGACACTTGCCAAAACCACCGTATCTGCCTGAGTTTATTTGCAAAGTTTCAGGCTTGGCTCTATGCAAATACAGTGTGTGCATTAGAATAAATTATTTTGTTATCAAGGGCCAAACAAGCTTTCTTTTTCACAGTAAGGACTGTGTGAAGCAGGTTGCTTGATCACTATGAAAAGATCACTATAGGGTTTGCATTTTCAAGAAAAAATAGAAGTTGCAGAGTGAAGATAATGAAGAAATCTTGCTTTTAAAAGTTATTCTGGTGAACACATACTTCAGTGATCAATTTTACAATTTATGCATGTTATTCTAGCTTTTTAATGTGACAAAAAATGTTCAAATTAATGCCAACCTTCTCAGAGAAATATGCAGGTATCTCCATTTTTTGTCATTTGCAACGGCTGACCAGAGAATCAGAGTTTCTGTGGTATGCAAAACCTAGCTGTTAATGTGTTTCTGGGAGGAAATCTTGGAAAAGTGACTAATTTACACACAGAAGTCCAAGATGAATGACTCCAGGTCACACTTTGATTTGTCTGGAGACAAAGGAAAGGGCTACAAATATTAGTTATTGTTTTTAGCAGAAACATGGTGTCTATAACAGAAATATTACATTCAGGGCTCCACTGAAGAAAAAAGAACAAGCTACTAAAAAAAACCCCAAATCTATAAAGGAAATGTTAAAATTAGCTGTGAGGATGTAGTTTAGACATTAGTGATAATTAGGATCTGAAATAAAACTGGAAAATGTCAAAAATACACTAATGGCATTTTAGGTATCACAGGGAATAAGCAGAGGACAAACCAGCGCATTGCTATGCTACTGTGCAAACCACACATTTTTAATGCTTTTTGCAACTTTGATTCAATCATTTCAAAGTGCTACACAGGAGCTCTCTAGTCTTGGTCTTGATCCACAGCACCACTCCCTACTCTGGAATAGCAGCATACACTTACCTGTCTCTTGCTGTATTGTCTGAACTGTGCACAGCACAGAATATACACACATATTTTTACCAATTCTTTTTTCAGGTAAGAAAAGCTTAAGTCTGTCATGGGGAAATAATATGAATGGGAAGTAATGAAGCCAGTGAAGTATTCCATTCGCATGTGATCTCAAAAGCGAGGTCCTACAGCAGAGCCCACTAACACAACCTATGTAATTTCAGGGTCTCTGGAGCAGTTGATGTGCTACTCTAATTATCAAAGTATTTAACCTTGATACAGCTCCAATAACCACATGAACTCTTAAAATTGTGTGTATCTTTAAGTATCTTTAAAATATTTATCAGACAGGATTTAAAAGTATCCGATGAAAAGACAGGAGCCTCTATTTCCTTAGAATATGCCTTTGTTTACATTTCTGACCATTTGTATTTTGAAAACATCATCATTGTTTGGATTTTTTTAATTAATATCTATAAATTATTCATTTTTATCTGCCTGCCATCAAAAGTTGCTCAAGAATTCGGCAGACATTTTTTAGCAAACCTGACTCCCTTAACAATTTACACTGAATCCCACTGAATTTTTAACTAATTATGTGGGATTTTAAATAATTATTTTTTTGTGGGATTATTAATTATTTTTAACTAATTATTCTCTCCTGGTTATTTGGCACATTTTGTAGGATTAGCTACAAAGCTTGAGTAAAAAGATGAAACATCAGAAAGGTGGTGCAAAAAATTTGGTAATGTGATCACATGTTGTCTAGTAAAAAAGCATTCACATTATCACAGAATCAATTGGATTGGAAAAGAATTCTGAGATCACCAAGCCTATTCCAATGTCTAATCACCCTTTCTGTGAAGAAACACCTCCTGATGTCCAATTTCAACCTCTCCTGGTGCAGCTTGAACTTACATCCTCTCATCCTGTCACTGCTTGAAAGGCAGAAGAGATTGATGCCCACCCGGCCACAGCCTCCTTTCAGGGAGTGATAAGGTCACCCCTGAGCCTCCTTTTCTCCAGGAACTTGGTGTAGACTTTGGATTTAATAAGGGTATACTTAATCTCCTCATCCAAATCTTTTAAGATATTGGTCAGGATAATAAACATGTTGAACAGAACTCTGCCCAACAGTGAGCCTTGTGGAAGCCCAAGAGTGACTGGCCACCAGCTGGATGCAGCACTGCTCACCACCACTCTCTGGGCCTGACCATCCAGTCAGCTTTTAACTCAGCGAAGGGTGCACCTGTCCAAGACAGGGGCTGCCAGCTTTTCCAGGAGAATGCTGAAGGAGACAGTGTCAAAGACTCTTCTGAACTCCAGGTAGACAACATCAACAGCCTTTCCCTTGTCCATCAAGTGTGTCACCAGGTCACCAAAGGAGATCAGGCAAGGTGTGCCTTTCCTAAACCTGTGTTGGCTGGGTGTTATCCCTCTGATCCCTACCAGCTGTCCTGTAAGTGCCGTGTGATCACACTCAAGATGTTTCATAACCTTCCCTGGGACCAAGGTCAGGCTAACAATATCTTCCTTCCAGCCCTTCCTGTGCATGGGAATCACAGTGACCAACATCCAGTCATCTGTGGACCTCCCCATTAGCCAGGACTGACAATAAATGATGAAGAGTGTCTTGGCAAACTCTTCTGCCAGTTCCCTCAGTACCCTTGGGTTAATCCCATCTGGTCCCATTGACTTGTGGGTGTCTGAGTGGCACAGCAGGTCACTGACTATTCCTCCTGGATTGCAGGGGTCTGTTCTGCTCCCCATCCCTTTCAAGCAGCTCAGGGTTGCCCTGAGGATCACTGGTTTTACAGTTGAAGA